CCCCCCCCCCCCCCCCCTTACACTGAAAGGTTGAGATGAAATTCACCTTCCTTGAATATCAGGTAACACGGCTCTGAAAAAAGCTGCCCTGTTTGCTCCACTGCCTCACACACCTCCTGAGTGCTCAGCGCACAGGCCAGAGCCAATAGCATGCTTTCTCTCTGCTTGGCTCTGGAAATCCTACAAGAGCCCCACCTAAAAGCCCTCACCCTGAGGGGCCAGATGCCATTAGCAGCAGAGAGCGCCCTGCTGATGTGGCCAAGGCCTCGCTCGCTTCTGGAGACCCATTTGGGACCCCATCAGGGAGGGGCTGGAAGATGGTCCTGCTTCAGCTCCCACCATCCCCACCCCCATCACCACAGCCTGGCCCGACTCTGGGCAGAACCAGGAGGGCACTTGGCTGGCAGGCGGTACCTGGAATATGCTGGCTCCGTACGGCGTCCTCCAGGCGTTGAGGAGGTTATCTTTCCCAGTGCTCACAAACCACTTGCCTGCAGGTGAGAGGAAAAGAGCGTCAGGGTGTGACGGGCTGCCTCCAAAGTAAGACCTACCCCAGGTGTGGTGGCTGCCATGGAAACACGGTGTGAACCACTAACCAGTGCTCAGCCGACTTTCTGCTTTCAAGGGGCAGATACATAACAGACACAGGGACACCCAGAGAATGCCTTTCTTTGCAATCAAGGTCGAGGCTGGGCAGGGCTGATGAGATAAGGTAGGGTTTGCACAAAATGGAAGCAATGACACTCTCTAAATTTTTTTAAAGCCACCAAAGTAGACTGATCCTTCTCACTGCTATTGGAAGATAGGAGGAGGTGCTGGGAAATGGCAAAGCCCCGAGTCTGCAGACCCAGCTGGGACAGAGGTCAGCAGGTGCCCTTACTCTGCCAGGGCACTGCCAGCATTAACACACTGTGCCCCCAAAGCCATGTGGTGGGCGCCATGCCAATCCCAGGCCAGAGTAAGATGCATCTGAATCAGAGAGGAGGAGACGTGTCCTAGGCTGCACAGCTAGTCAGTGGAGAAGAAGACATTCCACTCCGGGGCTCTGAGCTGTCAGAGGCTGCAGTCTTCACCGCCTGGAAGAACTGCCTAGAGGCACTGCCCACAGGGCTGGGAGCAGTTCCACTGCCCCCGGCCAGCAGCAACTGGCTCTGGCCTGGCGTCCAGAGCGCTCAGTACCCTGTGGCAGTATCTGCACCTGAGGGACAAGGATGGGGAGACACTGGTTGGGGTCAGGAGGCCTGGCTCCCATCAGGGCTCTGCTCCTAAGCTTTGGGCCCCTCATCTATACACAGGGGGCAGGCCAGGCTGCCAGGACCCCGCTCCCCAGGGCTCACCGCAGTAGGCAAACTTGAGGGAGAGCACACAGCTCTCATGCAGGTGCAGCTGGTACTTGTCCGGCTTGGTGTGGTGCAACACCTCCACGTTGCTGCTCTCCATGCCCACGGCCAGCCACTCCCCAGTGGGGCAGTAACCCAGCGAGAAGATCTGCAGGGGAGGGACCAGATGAGCTCAGCCTCGCTGCTTTCCAGATCCCACCACTCCTTCCCCATCACCTCCCCACTGCCCTTTGCAAAGCCAAGCCTTCCTCTCCCTCCGCCCAATAGCCCAGGGGTATGGGATGTCATTTTTCATCCCCATTTTATAGGTGAGGAGGTTAAGGCTTAGAGATGTGGCTGACTTTAGATAGTAAGTGGGAGAGCTAGGATTCAAACTCAGAGGTGGTACGGATCTTCTGCTCTCAAAAAGGTACTCTCCATGACTTCTGCCTTTCCTTAAGAAAAAAGTGAGCAAATAAAACACTAAAATATTAAATATGTGTGGCTAAAATATTAGAATGAGTAATAAAAACAACAAAAAATCATAATACCTAGCATCTACAGAATGCTTCCTATGAGCCAGGCTAATGGCTAAGGCTTTTAGAGGGACCATTCCAGGTACTCACACTAGATCTAGGAGGTAGCTAGTATTATTCTCATCCCAGAAATGAGAAAACTGAGGCCAAAGTGCTCAACAGTAGAGGAGCTGGGAATCAAATCTAAGCAGTTGGGTCAAGTGTGGCCATTCCAAGGCCTTGCCAATTCTATTTCATAGCCACTTCCTCCGGGAAGCCTTCTCAGATGGCTCAGATTCGTCATGTGCAATGGCCACTCGTAAGGGCCCCTTCATCCGCTGACCGGCCCTCGGGGAGGGGAGGGGAGGAGTCTTGGCTGCTCACCTGAGAGGTGAAGTCATGCTGCTGCAGCTGCCGGCCCTCGCGAAGGTCCCAGGAGCGCACGGTGTTGTCCAGTCCCCCAGTCCACAGTTTGGTGCCGTCGTGGGAAATGTCTATGCAGCTGGCCCCATCTGTGTGGCCCTGGAACTGCCTATGAAGGCCAAGCAGGGAGGAGTGAACCTGGGGGACCACTGAATACCAAGCTGGCAGCCTCTGAGCAGAAGAGGAAACTGAGGCCCAGAAAAGGGTACACCATATGCCCATGGTCCCTTAGTGAGCTTACAGCAGAGCCAGGCCTCTCTCCCACTCCACTCAGGGTCATGTCCAGGGGCAGGTATATAACACAGGGACCTCCCTAGGTGGACACTCTGTGTCTCCTCAATGTGCATTCTTAATCCCTCTCCTTACCCCACACGCACGACGAGGGGCTGAGGTCATACGCAAGCCGTACGGTAATGTGATAAACAAGGATGGCCAAGCTGGCTCTGAGCCAGCCCCGAGCAAGGTACTGAGACCCGGGCGAGGTGACTTGCACGAGGTCCCTCCCACAGCCGCACCTGACGAGCGTCTGGTTGTGCAGGTCCCACACAGCAATGTTCCCATCGCTGCAGCAGGAGAAGCAGACTTTGGCATCGGGGCTGATGGCCAGGGCATAGCAGGCAGGGGCGGAGGACGTCAGCTCGGCCTTGATGCGGGGTGTGGGTGAGGCCAGGTCCCAGATGGTGAGCGTGCTGGCCTCGCCGCCCACGATGAGCGTGCGCCCGTCAGGGAGCAGCTTGCAGGAGCGGATGTAGTTGTCCCTGTTCTGGAGGAAGAAAAGGAGAGTGCTCAGCACTGCCCACCTGCCTTCCCAGGGACCAGGAGAGTCACATCCAGCACCTCCGGGCACCCCTGCTCCCCTGCTCACATCCCGCCCTTGTTCCTGGCAGCTGCCAGGCCATCTCCACTGCTCATTCACAACCCTTCAATCTTTCACGCATTTTTTTACACGCCCCAGGTCAGTATCATCTCCACCTAGACAGTAAAACCATGGATCAGGGAAGTCAGCCAGCGTGCCCGAAGTCACCCAGCCAATAAAGGGCTCAGACAGGTCAAGAGGGCTCCCCCGCTGGCCAGGCTACCCTGCTCTCCCATGCCAGTTAGAGGTGCCCACAGCCCAGAATCCTCACCAGGCAGTCCAGCTGGGAGATGGGGCTCTTGCTGCCTGGCTGGCTGATGTCCCAGATCTTCACACAACCCTTGCCACCCGTGTAGACGTGCCGCGTGGGGTTGCTGATGGTCACGGCACACACCACCTCCCCGTGGCTGAGCGTGTTGATCTGCCGAGCGTGCCTGGGGATGCCGGGGCCTGCCAGGGCATCGTGGGGAAAGGGCACAGGCTGCATCTGCCCATCAGCACTCACATGGAAAGAGTAGGCTCTGAAATGGCAAGAACTGTCACTTCTGCTGTCCCCAGTCCTCTCCCAGTCTCCCCAGGTCCTGCCCCATTCCACCAGAACCACCCCAACTGGTCTCACTGCCTCCAGCTGCCCCCCAAATCTTAGGAAACCAGGTAACCCCAACCTTCTTGGCCAGGCTCCCCCAGGGTGGGAACTGCTCAATATTCCAGCCTTGACTCTGCTCCTGCTTACACATCCTTGCTCCAAACCAGTTCACTAGCCCCACCTGTGCCTTGGAAGGGCCTCTCCCACCACCTGTGACATCCCTAACACACCGACCGCCCCTAAAACACCCCAGCAGAGTGCCACCCCCTCCTTCAGGAGCCAGTGGTGTTCAGGGAGGGGATCTGTTTACATCCTCAAACGAACGGGAGAGTATACAGCAGAGCCAGTGTGTGAGCCAATGTGGGCTGCCTGCTGTTTCAGGTACTGGGGATGCCAGCTGGGGGTGTTTCAAACAAGTAGAGCCCAACGGAGCCCCCAGGCCAACTGCGTCATTTGGTTAGAAGGCCCTAATGTCTGCCATATTCCTTCCCTCCCAGGCCAGTGAGCACACCTCACAGCCCTCAGCAGCTCCCCTGTTAGAGGGACCCTGAGCTGGTGAGGAATATGGACAGGCAGCTAATTCCTGGGGTTACAGTCTGGCCTGAAGAACCTCTAAGGGGCAGGCTAACACCTTCTCAAGGGAGGTCCACCAGGGCGGGGTGCTCTCCCCTGCCCTCCCCAGAAGCATGCAGGAAGTGCAGCCAGAGCTTACGGTTTTCCACCGGGAATGGAGGCGAGGCTTGAGGGCAGGCCTGTGGCCCGCATGGGGGGGTGAGGGTCAAAACCAACCTGTAAGGCAAGACAAGGGCAGCCCTTAGTGAGGGACACACTGTACATCCCCCACCTGGCCGCCGCCTCCTCTGCTTCCTGGTCCTGCCTGCACCTCACTGCTTCTTCAGGACCCGGGAGACAGGCAAGCAGAGCAGAGCCCAGGAGGGCCAGCGCCTTGCCCGGGACAATGGCAGGGAAGGGCTGACAGTCCGGGTCTCCCAATGCTGACCAGCACCCTCCCCACCTCCTGTCCCCCCGGCCCCACCAGGCAGCGGCCTCTGCCCCACCTCAGTCCCTGTGTCCCATTGGGCTCTCATATACAGAGGAGGCCCCCACAGGTATAGGAGGTAAAGACAGAAACTGTCTCCTGAAAAAAGACCCCTCTCTCTACCAACCCAATCTAAACTGCTCATCAACACCAACAGACCATTCTCGGTGTCATAGGCAGCCCCATTTGCCAACCCCCTGCAGCCTGGAAGTCATCTGACTCATCTTGGGATCCCATCCCGTGGAGCCCGGAAAGACAGGGATCAGCCCCATTTCCCAGCAGAAAGGGCAGGCAGGGAGGCTGCATCATGTGAGGGACATGGCAGCTGGTGGGCAAGCAGGGGCGTCTGGGGCTGCTGATCCCCAAAGGTGGTGTTTTCTTCTTTCTAATGAGCACTGTACCCCAAAGGCAGCTAGCTGTCTGGTCGTGAGGCCCTTCTGGTATGCAGGAAGTGCCCCCCTAATCCTCACCAGCTCCCCACTCCTTGCTAGTCCCCAAAAAAGGAGCCAAAAAGTCTACGTACAGCTCCAAAGCTCACCATTGGCGATCGGCCATAGGCGGCAGCAGCGGCTGCAGCGGCCGCACTCATCTGGGGTGGGATGTTGTGGAGGCTGGCGTAGGCACTGGGGCTAGTGAGGGAGCCATTCATCTCGTGGTGGCTCATCATGGCAAAGGGCGCTGCGTAGGAGCTGGTGATGGAGATGGGCGTGCGCAGGGCCGAAGCTGCAAGGAGGCAGGCATCAGTGGGAAGTGGCCATCACGGGGAGGGGGCCCCACCCAGCAGCGATCCTGCCAGCACCCTAGAGCTGCCTGCCCCGGCAGTCCTCTCAGAGGAACCCACCTAACTGGGGTCCCACCTGCATAGCTTAAGAAGATTCAAGCGGAGAGAGGTCCCACCTTTTTTATAGGGCAGGTCACGGAAGCCCAAAGAAGGGGTTGTTCAGAGCCTCACAGAACAGAGGCAGGAGCAACGCATGGGTGCCCCAACCTGTCTGAAGTTCCCTGCCCAGTGGCCCAGTAAGCCCCATATCAGTGTTGAAGCACCAGCCTGTCTCCTCCTGAAACCTGACCAGGAAGCCTCCCAAAGGCAGGCCCTGGAGAGCCTCAGCCCCAACACACTCCCTGGTCGCTGGCCCACCTGTGCAGCTCCCGCCCTGGCCTGGCAGACCCCTCCCTCAGCCACAGGTACCCCAGCCCTATCGTGCCTACCCATTATACCTATCGGGTCTATGCCCGGAGGTTTGCCCGGCATCGACCGGAGCCCTGGCGTCGTGCTAGTGCCTGGAGTCGGGGCATCGTTCCTCGGGGTTGGTGTGTTGGACTTGAGGCCAGGCGTGGAGGATTTGTCATTCTAAAACGGGAAGATGCAGAGACCAA